CTAGACCCAGATCAAGATGCCGACGTTCGACCTCAGGCACCCAGTAAATCGCTCAAACAGGACAAGAAAATGACCGCCCAGGCCATCTGCTTGTCAACAATGATCAAGGAGACAGAGAAACCACCACTTACCCATTCCCTAGAACCAGCTGGCTTCGAATGCTTGTCCAGATGGAGACCTCTCGTAGTGGGCGTAGCAGTGATCATCTGTTTCCTGCATCGCAAGATAAGCTTCTCAGACAGCTATCTCCAAGCTGAGAGAGGGATTCTACGAAGTGTGCAACAAGATGCACACCTGGCAATATTCGAGTGTCTGAAGGCTAAGAAGCTTCTTCCGGCGTCTAGTTCACTGCTGAAGTTGAACCCGTTCCTTGATAGCCATGACTTACTTCGAGTAGGAGGGTGTCTAAATCAGACTAAAATAGGTAAAGTAATAGTAATAGTAGTAAAGTTGGAAGGGACCTTGGAGGTCATCTAGTCCAACCCCCTGCTCAGGCAGGAAACCCTACACCATTTCAGACAAATGGCTGTCCAGTCTCTTCTTAAAAACTTCCAGTGTTGGAGCATTTACTGCTTCTGGAGGCAGGCTGTTCCACTGATTAATTGTTCTCACTGTCAGGAAGTTTCTCCTTAGTTCTAGGTTGCTTCTCTCCTTGATTAGGAAACTTGATTAGTTTCCAGCTGCCCCAAACATCAAACACCCCGCTCGTCAACATGTAACGAACCTGCTGGTCCAACACTACCACGAAACCATCCACCACCAAAGCCAGCACTTCACAGAAGATGCCATTAGAGCCGCTGGATTCTGGATCGTGGGAGCCAAAAGATGCATTGCTGCCATTTTGTACAGGTGCCTGCAGTGTCGCAAACAACGGGGCACGACACAACACCAGTTGATGGCTGACCTACCACCCGAGCGCCTTAGTCCCGGACCGCCATTTACCAACGTAGGCCTAGACGTCTTTGGACCTTAATCCGTGACTGTTCATCGGACTAGAGGTAGTCAAGTCAACAGCAAATGTTGGGCCGTCCTCTTCACATGTCTTAGCATTCAGGGCCAGGCTATTTGCGAGACCACCTACTACCTCATAGTTCCTTTCGTCCGGTTAGATCCCACAAGCTGGGCCTCCTTCAGGCCCCGTTGGCCAAGCAGTGCCATTTGGCGGGGCCGCGGGGGAGGGCTTTCTCTGTGATGGCGCCCACGTCTTGGAACCAGCTCCCCCCCCCCCCGGAGATTAGGACCGCTCCCACCCTGTTGGTTTTCCGCAAGCTGCTTAAGACCTGGCTTTTTCGGCAGGCCTGGGGTTTATAAAATCTGACCCCTGGATGACTGTTATTGTATTGTTTGTTTTGTCATGTTATATGGTGTTTTTATTGTTAGCCGCCTGGAGTCCTGCGGGAGTGGGGCGGTTTATAAATTTTAAAAATAAATAAAAAATTCGAGCCGTTCACATTGAAGTCATCGAATCCATGGACACCTCCTGCTTCATCAACACTCTAAGGAGGTTCCAAGCCTATAGAGGCCCAGTTAAGGCATTTAGATCTGACCGCAGGACTAACTTTGTAGGAGCCTGCAAGGAATTACAGATTGACAAAGGCACTCGCCTCGATTCAGCAATTGACGAATACCTAAAGGCCCAAAACTGTGTATGGGCATTCAATCCTCCTCATGCAACCCACATAGGAGGAGCGTGGGAACGCATGATGGGCATAGCCCACAAAATCCTGGACTCTATGTTGACAAAGACACCCACTCTGACGCATGAGGTCCTCACTACCCTCACGGCAGAAGTGGCAGCTATCATTAACACTCGACCTTTAGTTCCAGTTTCCTCAGATCCTGAAAATCCAACTATCCTCACCCCGGCCACCTTGCTAACACAGAAGACAGGCGACTGGCCAGCACCATTAGGAAACTTTCTTCCCAAAGACATGTATAAACAACAATGGAGACAACTGCTCGCCAACACCTTCTGGAAGCACTAGAAGCAAGAATAGTTGTCTACCTTACAGGATCGCCGCAGATGGAAGACCAAAGAGCCTAACCTCAAAGAAGGAGACCTTGTCTTGCTGAGAGACAAGGACGCACATCGTAACTCTTGACCCATGGGACTTGTGCATCACGTTCTACCCAGCTCTGATGGACTAGTTGCCAAGTTGAAGTCTAGACTGTGAAGCCACAAGTTGTGTCGTGACTCAAAGACTCTCATTAAAAGGCTTTACACCAGACCGATCTCCAACTTGGTACTGTTGATGAGGAACTTGAAGATTGAACCACGAGTTATGCCTGTTTTGTATTTACCTCATGACTGCATTGTTTTGATGCTGTGTTTTTGGCTTATTCTAGTTAATAATTAAGAGTGGAAATTGTATAATTCTAGGCGGGGAGTGTGCTGGTCAGAGTATATAGCCATCTTAGGAATTAAGAACTGTCCCCTTAAGGGAAAGCCTTCTGCGTAATGTAGTTTGTTACCTGGTCATATCTGTGTTTGGACTGGCCACTGGCTTTTTTTACCTGCGTGTTGGGTACACATTATGCAAAGAATGTCAGAAGAATCCCTACAATAACTGTAAGTTAATGTTTTGAGAATGCCTGATAAATTAATCTGCATGAAACCCTTACATCAGTGATTCTCAACCTTGACAATTTTAAGGCATGTGGACTTCAACTCCCAGAATTCCACAGCCAGCTGTGGAATTCTGGGAGTTGAAGTCCACACGCCTTAAAATAGTCAAGGTTGAGAAACACTGCCTTACATGGAGTTAATCTCCCTGCATCAAACCTCCCCTTGCTTAATACAGAACAGGCAGCAAGAATGGTTGTAAAATGGAGCAAAACTCACTTAACAACCGTCTTGCTGGGCCATGGAAATTTGGGGCTGAATTGTGAGCGTAAGTCGGGGGCTGGCTGCCTGGCTTGCTTGGTGGGTCATCAAATTGAGCATTGGCTTTTAGCAACCACCTAGACCAGGAGTAGGCAACCTTGGCCCCTTCATGACTGGTGGACTTCAACTCCCAGAATTCCTGAGCCAGCATTCAGGCCCAGCATGGCTGCCTCAGGAATTCTGGGAGTTGAAGTCCACCAATCATATGCAGATGATACCACTCTAATGGCAGAAAGTGAAGAGGAACTAAAGAGCCTCTTGATCCGGGTGAAGGAGAGTGCAAAAGTTGGCTTGAAACTCAACATTAAGAAAACCAAAATCATGGCATCCGGCCCTCTCAATTCCTGGCAAATAGATGGGGAAGAAATGGAGGTAGTGACAGATTTTATTTTTCTGGGCTCAAAGATCACCGCAGATGGGGACTGCAGCCAAGAAATTAAAAGACGCTTGCTCCTGGGGAGGAAAGCTATGGCAAATCTAGACAGCATCCTAAAAAGCAGAGACATCACCCTGCCAACAAAAGTGCGTATAGTCCAGGCCATGGTTTTCCCACTTGCAATGTATGGTTGTGAAAGTTGGACCATAAGAAAGGCTGAGCGCCAAAGAATGGAGGCCTTTGAACTCTGGTGCTGGAGAAGACTCCTGCGAGTCCCTTGGATTGCAAGGCGTTCAAACCGGTCAGTCCTAGAGATCAACCCCAACTGCTCTTTAGAAGGCCAGATCCTGAAGTTGAAACTCAAATACTTTGGCCACCTAGTGAGAAGGAAGGACTCACTGGAGAAGGGCCTAATGCTGGGAAAGATTGAGGGCAATAGAAGAAGGGGACGACAGAGAATGAGATAGCTGGATGGAGTCCCTGAAGCAGGAGGCGTGAGCTTAAATGGACTCCAGAAGATGGTAGAGGACAGGAAGACCTGGAGGAACGTTGTCCATGGGGTCACGATGGGTCGGACACGACTTCGCAATTAACAACAACAACAATCATAAAAGAGCCAAGGTTGCCTAGACAGGTTTTTCCTCTGTGTGTGTGTGTGTGTTCCGTGCAGCCCCCACCTGCCCCAGACATTGCCACTGTGCCACCCAGGGAATTTCCTGCCCCTTGGCCTGGACAGACCCCTCCCCTCCCCAAGTGACTCCGCGACATTACCCATGGCAGGACCCACGTCAGGAGAATTGCAGGAAAAAGGAGGTGCAATCGGGGATCCCCTGCTCCTTGCTGCAGTTCGGGGGGGGAGACAAATTGTGCCCTCCGAGGAGTGAGGGGGGGGTCACTCCTGCCCCTTCCCCCAGCTGGGCCAAAGGCAGATGGAGCTCTTACAGCATTCCAGGTTTCGGTGAGAAAAACTCCTGCGTTTTTAGCATACCTGGGGGGGGCAATGCCCTCCCAATGGGGGGGATCCGTTTCCCAGCCAACCAAGCCAGGGGTGGGGTCCCATCCAGGTCCCTGAAGGGCACCCAGGGTCCAAGCAGGCTAAAGCAAACACCCCCCTTTGGACTGACCACCGGTGGCCATGAAAAGGGTCTTCCTTTTCACCTCACCCCCCACATTTTGACTCCTGCAGGGTCTCTGGGATCAGTACCCAAGGACGACCCCCCCCCCACCAGTTCAGCCCAACAGACACAAAAAAGCACCAGCCAGGTACAAAAACCAACAAAGGTGTTTGAGAATTCTCCATAGACAAAGGTGTTTTTTCTTCAGTGAGCAGGAAGTGGCCGGCACAGTCCGAAGAAGCCTGGGGGGGCTCCAGCTGCTACTTGGGGAGGGGTGGGGGTCTCAAAGGTGAGCATGCACAGCCCTGGCGAGGGAAGGCAGTGGTGAGTCTGAAGCCAGGAAATGTTCAGGAAGAGATGCTCTACAGCAGGGTGTCCAAGCCAGCCACTTTAGGACTTGTGGACTTCAACTCCCATAATTCCCCAGCCAACTTTAGGACTTGTGGACTTCAACTCCCATAATTCCACAGCCATCTGGAAGACTTGTGGACTTCAACTCCCATAATTCCACAGCCAACTTTAGGACTTGTGAACTTCAATTCCCATAATTCCACAGCCATCTGGAAGACTTCAGCTCCCATAATTCCACAGCCATCTGGAAGACTTGTGGACTTCCACTTCCATAATTCCACAGCCTTGAAGACTTGTGGACTTCAAACTGTGGACTTCAACTCCCAAAATGCCACAGCCAGCTGTGATGACTAGGGGATTCTGGGAGTTGAAGTCCACAACTCTCAAAGTGGCCAGGCTTGGACACCTTTGCTCGGCAAGCAATCTTTGGTCTGGCAGTGTCAGGGAGATGGGGGGGGGCGCCTGCTTCTCCTGTGTCAGAAATGGGGAGGGGGCTTCCTTTGGTCTAGAAAAGAGTCCAGTGCAAATGAGGGGGGGGCGCGGCTGTTCAGGGGCGCTCCGTCACGCGCAGCATTTGGTCCGCTTCCTCTTCTCCGTCACGTACAAGTCTCGCTCGTCCCCATGAATCCCTGCAAAGGAGCAGAGTCGTAGGTTGGCATCCCGCAGCCCACCTGCCCCCCCTTTGCCCTAGATCAGGGGTCTTCTAACTTTGATGACTTGTGGACCAACTCCCAGAATTCCTCAGCTAAGCACGCTGGCTGAGGAATTCTGGGAGTTCAAGTCCACAAGCAGGGGTCTTCCAACTTGGCCCTTTGATGACTTGTGGACTTCAACTCCCAGAATTCCTCAGCCAGGCACGCTGGCTGAGGAATTCTGGGAGTTGAAGTCCACAAGTCATCAAAGGGCCGAGTTTGAAGACCCCTGCCCTAGACACTGTGGGAGGAGGGCACAGCCAGGCGAGGATCCAGGGGGTTCTCCGATGGGCTGGTAGAGAGGTCCACCCCATAACATCCCAGGGGTCTTTCATTCTTTAAGGAACTCCCGCCCAAATGCACAGCTCCCCCTCCCGTTTCTCCCCACACAAGCACCTTGCAAGGTAGGCCAAGAGGGACCGACCCACAACCCCTGCTGAAACCCGGGGGGAATTGAATTAAGGTCTCCTTGGTGCCATCCAATCTGACCTGCCTCTCTTTCCTGTCCCACCAGCCCCTCCCCTCCCACGGTAGCATCACAGGTGGATGCCAGCTTGTCTGTCTGGTGTTCGCAGAGTGAGGGGGGAGACCCTTTAAAAGCAGAGGTTGACTGGGGGTGTCTCCCTTATGGGGGGAAAAACATTGCTCTGTACTATGGGGAGGGGACCCGGCCTATGTGAAATGGGGAGGGGGCTTTTGCTGTCTGTAGACTGGGGCTGGATTTGAAGCCATCTCAATTCTAGCCAGGTCTGGGCTGCCCAATTTCACATCACCACCAGAGGGCAGCAAAGAGCCACTAAAAACTCCCTCTGGGGCTGATATGGACATTTACTTTCAGGTCTGGGGGCCCCATTGGCCCTTCATCCGCCCCCCCCCCATGACAGTTTAAGTTAACTGCAATTGGGAGTCTGTTTGGCTATCTTGCTAAAATGCTTTGCACCACCCTGTGACTGCTGGTTATCTCAGCTCTGGCGGGGGGGGGGGGGGGAGAGAACAGGCTTTGTTTTTTTAATATTACGTTTCTAGTCCTTATGAGGATACCAATGGCCACATGGATAGGTCAAGAGGCCGAGAATGTTTGCAGGATGATTGAGGCTGAGCACCGATTCAGAGAGGAGACTGCAAAGCCAGCGGGACAGAATTTCCCGGCGGTGAGGACAATCAACCAACGGAACAGAAGTTGACTTCAGATATTGAGGGTGCTTCATCCCTGGAAGCTTTCAAGAAGGGACTGGACTGCCACCTGTCAGAAATGGTGTAGGTCGGATCTCCTCCGTGGGCAGGGTGGGTGGGTGGGGTTGGACTAGATGACCTTACAAGGTCCCTTCCAACTCTTGTTATTCTGATTCTGATTCTGATTCTCAATCTGAATCTCAAACCCAAGTATGGTTTTAAAAAAAAAAGGGTGAGATGGGAGTGCAGTTGAAGTTCCAGGTTATTTATTAAATTTATATGCCGCCCATCTCCTCGATGAAACAGCCCCAGGCGGTTTTACACAAAGGTAAAAAAAAAATACCAAATTTATGTGCACGAACATATAAAAATCACGGGGGAAACTTCCACTGCACCATCCTAGCTGCCATCTAGACCTTTTATTGCCCACAGTCTGTTTACCAGCCCCCAACACGGGACCCTCCGGTCTCCTCCAGCCCAGGGCCACTTACGCACGACGTCCCCAATCCGGCGTGCGTTGCTCTTCTCCAGCTCGGCCAGCACGCTCCCTTCGAAGGTGAGCGCGGCCAGACGGAAGAAAAACTCCCGGACGTTCTCACCTGGACGGGAGAGGGAGAGGCGGGGGGGGGGGGAATCAGGGCGGGCAGCTCGTCCTTCCCCACCCTGGCTGGACAGAAGCAGACCACCCACCCACAGAGCAGCGGGGGGGGGGGGGAAGAGATGGTGAGAGTCAGGGCCTTTGGGTGAGATGGGGGGGGAAGAGGAGAGAAAGACAGGGAGAAAGAGGATGATGGATAGGTAGATAGACACATTGACAGACAGACAGACATGAGAAAAAGGATAGATGAGAGAGAGATAGAGAGATAATATACATACATACATACATTAGAGAGAGAGAGAGACAGACAGACAGACAGACATAGACAGAAGCAGAGAGATATAGAGACATGACAGAAAGAGAGGGAGGGCAACTAGAGATAGATAGATAGATAGATAGATAGATAGATAGATAGATAGATAGATAGATAGATAGATAGATAGACAGACAGACATATTCTCTCTCTTTCTCTCTCTCTCCATATATCTATCTAGATCAGGGGTAGGCAACCCTGGCTTCTTTATGACTAGTGAACTTCAACTCCCAGAATTCCTGAGCCAGCATGGGGGAACTATGGCCCCTTCATGACTCGTGGACTTCAACTCCCAGAATTCCTGAGCCAGCATGAGGGAACTAGGGCCCCCTCATGACTTCTGGGCTTCAACTCCCAGAATTCCTGAGCCAGCATGGGGGAACTATGGCCCCATCATGACTGGTGGACTTCAACTCCCAGAATTCCTGAGCCAGCATGGCTCAGCTTGGAAACCTCTCCCTTTCCCTCAGTATGGCTGGCTCAGAAATTATGGGAGTTGAAGTCCACCAGTCCTAAAAGAGCCAAGGTTGCCTATCCCTGATATAGATAGATAGATAGATAGATAGATAGATAGATAGATAGATAGATAGATAGATAGATAGATAGATAGGCAGGCAGGCAGGCAGGCAGGCAGGCAGGCAGGCAGGCAGGCAGGCAGGCAGGCAGGCAGGCAGGCAGACATGACAGGTGGATAGCTAGACAGGTAAGTATGCAGGAATGTAGGAGAAAGAGAAAGAGAGAGAGGGAGGGAGGGAGAGGGAGAGAGAGATGACTGGGAAAAGGGATTTGCACCCAGGATAATGCTGGGCCCCTCCCTGCCAGCCCCCAGAGGGGCAACACGCGCTGCAGACACAGATGTGGGAAGCAGGTGTGGCTCACCTGTGAGTGAGGAGACGGCCCAGTATTCAGCCTGCATCTCCTTCGCCACCTTCCGGGCGTCCCGCTCTCTAAGGTTGTACTGCGCGGGTGTCTGTGGAGAAAGAGGAAGGCTCAGGGGGGCAGCAGGGGGCACCCGGTGGGGAGGGGGTGTGAAACATATGAGCAGATCACACAGGTAACTGACACCTGGGTCAGGGCTGGGCAAGGATGGCAATTTGGCAACTTGTGGACTTCAACTCCCAGAATTCCTGGCAATTTGATGACCTGTGGACTTCAGATCCAGGAATTCCCAGCAACTTGACGACCTGTGGACTTCAAATCCCAGAATCCCAGGCAATTTGACGACCTGTGGACTTCAACTCCCAGAATTCCTGGCAACTTGACAACCTGTGGACTTCAACTCCCAGAATTCCTGGCAACTTCATGACCTGTGGACTTCAATTCCCAGAATTGGCAACTTGATGACCTGTGGACTTCAATTCCCAGAATTCCTGGCAATTTGACAACCTGTGGACTTCAACTCCCAGAATTCCTGAGCCAGCCATGGCTGGCTCAGGAATTCTGGGACTTGAAGTCCACAGATCGTCAAGTTACCATCGTAGCCCACCCCTGACCTGGTCCTGCTGCAGTGCCCGTCTTCTTGGGGAATTTGGTGCCCTCCACCCATGTGGACTTCACTTCCCAGAATTCCTGTCTGGCTAGGAATTCTGGGCGCTGGAAGGCACACGTGGAAAATTCCTAGATTAGGAAATGCTGGTCCTGTAAAGTAGCCTGAATAAGTGTCACAAAATTCCATATCTGTTCCTTGACACCCCTTGGCTTAACATATTTATCTCTATACCCTTCCTTTATTGTTTTTTACAATAACTCAAAGCAGCAAACGTATCCGATTCCCCTCTTATTTTATCCAAAACAACAACCCTGCAAGGTGGGCCGGACTGAGAGAGAAACTGGCCCAAAGTCTCCCATCTAAGACAGGACTCAAATTCACAGTCATAATCTGAAGCGAAGGGTGGTCCGGTCTGGAGGCCACCTGGGCATTTCCCACCCTTCTGCCCCCCCTCCCCTCCTGCCCCCCCCCCCCACTCACACTGAGGTCCTTCTTGGTGCCCACCAGGAAGAGCAGGACGCTGGAGGGGTCGTTCTCCTTCAGGGCATCGACCAGCCACTGCCTGGGAAGTGAGGGGGCAAAGTCACCCCAAAGGCTCCCTGGCTTTCTCCCCCCCCCCATTTCTCTCAGTTGGAAGCTGCTGGGCTGCCGTTCCAAATGGGCAGGTTGGGAGGGGGGGTTCTCGAAGCTGCAAGACCCCAGCAGGCCGGGTCCCCAAAGACCCCTGGAGATGCTGGATGAAGAGGGACTGGGAGTCTTCCCCTCCCCCAAATGGAGGTTCCCTGGGGGCTTCAGCTGATGGCCTGGGAAAGAGGGAGGGAGGGCTAGAGGGAGGGAGGGAGGGAGGGGGGAAGGAAGGAAAAAGGGAGGAAGAGTGGGAGGAAAGAAAAGAAGGAAGAAAGATGAGGAAGGAAGAAGGGAGGGAAGGAAAGAAAGAAGAAAGAAAGATGAGAAAGGAAAGGAAGGAAGGGAGGAAGGAAGGAAAAAGGGAGGGTGGGAAGGAAGGAAAGAAGGAAGAAAGATGAGAAAGAGAAGGGAAGGGAGGAAGGAAGGAAGGAAAAAGGGAGGAAGAGTGAAAGAAGGAAGAAAGATGAGGAAGGAAGAAAGGAGGGAAGGAAAGAAAGAAGGAAGAAAGATGAGAAAGGGAAGGAAGGAGGGAGGGAAGGAAGGAAGGAAGGAAGGAAGGAAAGAAGGAAAAAGCGAGGGTGGGAAAGGAAGGAAAGAAGGAAGAAAGATGAGAAAGGGAAGGGAAGGGAGAAAGGAAGGAAGGAGAAATTAGGAAGGGAGGGCAGATGGAGGGGGAAAGGAAGGAAAAAGGGAGGGAGAAAGGAAAGAAGAAAGGAGGGAGGAAGGAAGGAAAGAAAGAAGATGAGAAAGGAAAGGAAGGGAGGAAAGAAGAAAGGAAGGAAAGAAAAAATAGGAAAGGATGGATGGAGGGAGGGAGAAAGGAAGGAAGGAAAAAGGGAGGGAGGGTGGAAGGAAGGAAGGAGCAAGAGGGAGGAAGGGCGAACCCCCCCCCAGACCCCAACCCTCTTGCAACTCACAGGGTTGGGGGGCTCCTGCTCCCTCAGGCCCCCTGCTTACCGCGTGTGGTCCAGCGATGCCACGTCATTCAAATCGAAGACGATAATGATGGCTGCCAACAGAGTTTTTTTGGGGGAGACACAGAACAGGAGGCTCAGCGCCCTGAGGGGAGGGGACCCCCATCCAGACCCTGACCCTCTTTTCCTCCTGCATCTCGTCTTCTGCAAATCCCAGGAGAGGCAGAAAAAGGCTGGCGCATATCAAACAATCACCCCCACCCTCCACCCACCCCCCACCAGGTGTTGGGAGGAGTCAGAACAGGTGCCCTCCCCCCCCCGTAGGAATTAGCCTCCCCCCCCTCTACACCGTGGGAAGGGGCGCCAATCTCCCCCTTCCCCAACCAGGAAGGACAATTGATCCCGAGAAGCCCAAGACCTCTCCTACAGAGACCCCCTCCCCAGGAGACCCCCCCCTTCAAGATCCAAGGGCCATTGCAGTCCGGCAGGCTCTCCCGGGGAGGTGGGCTTCACGCCTCCCCTGTGCCAAGCGAGATGGTTCTTAAGTGAGCTTCACCCTGTTTTACGACCGTCCTTGCCGGAGTTGTTCAGCCAATCGCTGCAGTCGTTAAGTGGCATGGTTAAGTGAAACGGGCTTTCCCCCCCCCTTGGACTTGGCTGGTCAGAGAGGGGATCACAGAGACCCCAACCTCCCCCCCCCCCCCGCGACCATCATAGATAGGACTCAGTTGCCAAGTGCCCTAATTTTGATTATATGACCAGGTCGTTAAGTGTGAAAAAGGATAGTATGTCACTTTTTCCAGCGCCCTGATGACTTTGAACAGTCCCTAAATCAGCGGTTCTCAACCTGTGGGTCGGGACCCCATTTGGGGTCGAACGACCGTTTCACGGGGGTCGCCAAACAACGCAATCCGCCATTTCCCCCCCCTTTTCCTTAGCTGGGCTACTCCCTTTTATTCTATTGGCTTTTGAAAGCCAATAGAAGAGACTCTCTTGAATAGAGTCTAATTCTATTGGCTTTCCAAAGCCAAAAGGGATCGTCCAGGCTGTCTCTGCCCTGCTGAGCCCGCCAAAAGTCCCGTTCTGCAAACGGTGCTGCACCAGTTGAGTAGTCCTCGACTTACGACCGGTTGAGTAGTCCTCGACTTACCATTGGTTGGGGGGTCACAGCATTAAAAAGGTTGAGAACCACTGCCCTAAATGAAGGGTTGTCAGTCTCTATAATTGATTTAAAAAGCTTAGATTGTGGTTTTAAAGCAGGGGTGTCCAAGCTCGGCCCCTTTAAGACTGGTGGACTTCAACTCCCAGCTGTGTTGGCTGGGGAATTCTGGGAGTTGAAGTCCACCAGTCTTAAAGGGGCCGAGCTTGGATAGCCTTGCTTTAGTTTAAACCATCTTAGGAACCAGCGAAAAGACAAAAAGCCGTGCCCAGGCTGGGCTGGGAGGCAGACCCTCTCCCCAAAGTCCTCCCCCTGCCCCCTCACCTTGTGCTCCCCGATAGTAAGTGGAGGCGATGCACTTGAAGCGTTCCTGGCCAGCCGTGTCCCACCTGGCAGGGATCAAGCAGAGCCAGTCGGACGATGGCTAAAACAGGGAAGGGGGTCCGCAGGGGAGGGGGGGCTGGAGGGGGCCCGAGGCCAGGTGGGATACTCACAGCTGGAGGCTGAAGGGGACCCCCAGAACCTCAAACCGTTCCATCTCAAAGTCCACCCCGATGGTGGCCTTGTAATTCTTGTCAAAGGTGTCTTTGCAAAATCTGGAGGCGAGGAAAGGAGGCGGAATTCGAAGCAGAGACCCTGGTGAGGAAAGTCGCCTCGCCGGGAGGGCCCTCCCAACCTCTGCAGGCCAAGCAAGCTGGAAAGGGAGCAGGCTGCAGCTGGAAGGGTCCCCCCGAGGCCATCTAGTCTAACCCCCTGCTCAGGGCAGATGATAATACCATCTCTGGTTGTGTGGCCAGCTTGTGCCTGTGCAACGGCGCCTGGGGGAATCTTCAAGGGCAGGGATCCCCAAATTTGGCCACTCTAGGCTTTCTAGACTTCAACTCCCAGAATTCCTCGTGCTGGTGGAGGAATTCTGGGAGTTGAAGTCCAAAAAAGGCCAAATTTGGAGGCTGCTGCTCAAGGGTCTCATTCAGACACTTGAAAACCTGATCCCACCCACCCACCTCAGTCCTCGGCCATGACAGACCTTTTCATTGGCTCACCCCAAACTCTCAGGGGATGGAAGCCCCCCCCCCGGCACACACACACATACACACACACACACACATGCCCATGTCATCATCCTCCTTACCGGTTGATCAAGCATGTTTTCCCCACCGACAGGTCCCCCACCACGATGATCTTGGAGATTTTAAACCTGATGGGAAGAAAGAGGGAAACAGGCCCCCCCGCTGAATAATCCAGAGAGTCGAGATTGAGAAAGAAGCTGAGATGGGAGAAAGAAAGATTTTGATGAGGAAGGAAGGAAGGAAGGAGGGGGGAGGGAGAGAGAGAAAGAGAGAGAGAAAGAGAGAAAGAGAGAAAGAGAGAAAGAAAGAAAGAAAGAAAGAAAGAAAGAAAGAAAGAAAGAAAGAAAGAAAGAAAGGCGGGAGGAAGGAGGGAGAGACAGAGAGAAAGAAAGAAAGAAAGAAAGAAAGAAAGAAAGAAAGAAAGAAAGAAAGAAAGAGAAAGGCGGGAGGAAGGGAGGGAGGAAGGAGGGAGGGAGAGAGAAAGAAAGATAAGAATGAAAGAAAGAAAGAAAGAAAGAAAGAAAGGTGGGAGGGAGGAAGGAAGGAGGAAGGGAGAGAGAGAAAAAAAGAAAGAAAGAAAGAAAGAGAAAGAAAGAAAAAGAAAGAAAGAAAAAAAGAAAGAGAAAGAAAGATGGGAGGGAGGGAGGGAGGAAGGAAACACGAGGACCCCCAGACGCAGAGCCTCCAGATCCAGGGAATCCCACCCCCCCCCAACTGGCACACAGAGGGTTTATGTCCAGAAATGCTGCAATTTGCAGCTTAGCAAATCTCGGGGGGGGGGGGGGGGGGCAACAGAGGCCAGTTGTGGGTCCAGCCTGGACAGGGCCAATCACGGCTGCCATCCCCTGGTCTGGAGCAAGGGGGGGGGGAACTGGCCACTCCTCCCAGCAGGCCCCTTTCAAGCAAAGGAAACCTGAGGGGGGGGGGCTGGAAGGATCCTGCCTTGCCCTGCCCCCCACAGCTGCATTCCTGCACTATACAAAAACCCCTCCACCCGGCCCCTGGAGCACCAAGGAAGGGGATCTTGGGGAGTGAGAAGAGGAAGCAGCTCACGGCGCCCCTCAAAGCAAACCAGCCCCCCTCAAAAGAAAGCACCCCCCCAAAGCAAATCAACCCCCTTCAAAGTGAACCAGACCAGCCTGCAACTCCCCGTCTTTTTTCAAGCTCTGCAGCAGCCCCCAGCCCCCCTCCCCCTCTCCCCTTCCAAGGGGGGGCACCTACCGGTACTTACCCCACAGTGCCCGTCCGTTGAGCCTGGCACGTGCCCACCACTTTGGGATGGAAGGAGGTCCTGCTGTGGAGAGCGGCCTCCTTGTTGAAACACTGGAAGGCAGAGGGGCAATCAGCCCAGAGCCTCTGCCCATGAACAGAGCGCCTGGCCCCAGAGAAGGCAGTCTCCCGGCCAAGGGGTCTCCCAGGGTGGGAGGGGGGCCAGAGCAGACCCAGACCAAGGCTCGCTTCAATGGCCTTGAGCTATACAGGAAAGGCACACAGGCAAGAACGGTCGTGCACCCCAAGATTTGGCACAGGCTGATCACGGGGGCGCATGCAAGGTCCCCCAGCCCTGAGACCACCCCCCCCCCAAAAAAAATTCAGTGCCACACATCTTACTTGGGGCAGCTCACCAATGACCCGGTCCCTCCGCACAGGGGCCAGGATGTTCATTGCTGGGGTCCCTGATGGAGGGGTCTTGGCAGATCTCTGAGGTTCCCACCTGGGAGCACAGAAATGGGGGGCATTGAAGAGCTAAACCTGCGGGGTCCAACCTTGGCAACTTTTACGACTCGTGGACTTCAAGTCCCAGAATTCCCCAGCGCTTTAAGACACGTGGACCTCAACTCCCAGAATTCCCCAGCCACTTTAAGACTCGTGGACCAAGTCCCAGAATTCCCCAGCCACCTTAAGACTCATGGACCTCAACTCCCAGAATTCCCTAGCCACTTTAAGACTCGTGAAGTGCAACTCCCAGAATTCCCAGCCAGCAGTTTGGTTTTCCTTCATCTACCCAGTCACCCACTGGCCCCTCCTCCAGAGAAACCTCTCCTGTGAGGGTCCCACATGGCAGAAAATGTGGGAGGGGCTCCAGCCCCCCCCCACTCAGAGGGACAGCCCCCCGTCCCCAGAGCAGCTTCGAAATCTAACAACTGCATTGATTCAAGGTAGGTTGTAAAACGGGGCAAAACTCAGTTAACAAACGTCTCCTTTAACAACACTAATTCTGGGCTCCATTGTGGTTGTAAGGGCTACCTGAATAAAAAAAGTCGGAAGGGACCCTGGAGGTCCTCTAGTCCAACCCCCTGTTCTGGCAGGAAACTATACCCATTCCAGACAAGCGGCTGTCCAGCTAGCCCAGAGGTAGGCAACCTTGGCTCTTTTATGACTCGTGGACTTCAACTCCCAGAATTCCTGAGCCAGCTTGGGGGAATTATGGCTCCCTTGATGACTCGTGGACTTCAACACCCAGAATTCCTGAGCCAGCCATGCTGAGGGGAAAGGGAGAGGTTTCCAAGCTGAGCCAGGCTGGCTCAGGAATTCTGGGAGTTGAGGTCCACGAGTCATGAGGGGGCCATAGTTCCCCCATGCTGGCTCAGGAATTCTGGGAGTTGAAGTCCACGAATCCTAAAAGAGCCAAGGTTGCCTACCCCTGAGCTAGCCTCTTCTTAAAAACCTCCAGGGACGGAGCGCCCACAACTTCTGGAGGCAAGTCGTTCCACTGGTTAAGTGTTCGCCGTGACCCAACGGGACTTCCAGAGTTTGCAAAGCAGATTCAATCACCCATGAAAGGACTTTTGCGACTTGGCTTCTCCTGCTTTGGGCAGCGGTTCTTCTTCCCAGCCCACAAAGGGGGTGCTGGGGGGGGGTCAGCAACAGCAGCGCCCCGGAGCCAGGCACACCCCCCCCCGGGGCCTCCTTCCACGCAGGCTGCAACAGGCCGCCGGAGCGGGACTGCCCGCCGCGTTGCCCGTGGGCGGAGACGCCCGTGGGCGCAGCGCCGAACCTCGCCCGGGGCAGCCAAAAGTTCCTGGAGGGACGGCGGAGCCAGGGAGGGAGGAGCGGCCCCGAGCAGCTCCCGGTCTCCCCCTCCCCACCTCCCGCCCCCGGAGCTCGGCCCACGCGCCTTCCACGCCCCGGGACGGCCCCGAGTCCCGCCTTGAGACGAGCCAGCTGGCCCAGACGTGGGGGGGGCTCTGTCGGGACTCCTGCCGGGGGGGGGGGCGAGGAAGCCTCCCCAGGGCCCGGGGGGGCTCGCTGACCGTCCCGGGAGGGGCTGGGGGGGCGAAGGCGGGCGGGTGGGGGTGGGGGTCGTCTGCGATCCCCGAAAATTCCAGCAGACGCCCCCCACTCCCCTCCCCTGCCCCGCCGGCGCCTTCTCCGAACAAAGAGGGCCGGGCAATCCCGCTCGCCGGCGCTGGGGCGGCGCTTTGCACCGCCTCAGGGGCACCCTCGCCGTCGTGGGTGGTCCGGGTCGCGCGGGGGGGGCAGGGTCCCGCGTGGGAAGGGGCGCCGGGAAGTCGGAAAGGCAGGCAGGCAGGCAGGGAGGCAAGTGGGGGGTCCCTCCCGGCCGAGCCCCCCGTTCCCCCGGCGCCCCCCTACCTTCTCCCGGCGGCGCGCAGACAGGCGAGGCGGCAGCCGGCGGCATCTGCTCCGGAGTGACTCACGGGCTGGCCCGGGCGGCGGGGCGGGCAGAGCCCCCCACGGCGCAGGCAGACCCGGGAGGAGGAGGAGGCGCCCCGCGTGGGAGCCCGCCCAGGCCGGCTGGAAGCGCCCCGCCTGGACCGCCTGCAGCCCCTCCGAGGCCGAAGGGGGGGGCTGCCCTCTGCACGCGCTCAGAAGCCGCCTCGCTCGGCCCTCTGGCGGACCTCTCTCTAAGAATGCCAGGCTGAAATAGCCCTGGTGCCGTCAGTTCATCCTGAGAAGTGCCCACTTTGGTAGGATTGATGGATTGGATGGTTGATTTATTACCTTACCTGCCATCCGGTTAGACTCAACTCTTCACTGTCCCATGGATACCTTTTTCCAGGATGATCTACCCTTCACCTGATCGTCTAAGTCAGTGGTTCTCAACCTTTTTAATGCCGCGACCCCCCCAACCGGTCGTAAGTCGAGGACTACTCCACTGGTGCAGCACCGTTTGCAGAATGGGACTTTTGGTGGGCTCAGCAGGGCAGAGACAGCCTGGACAATCCCTATTGGCTTTGGAAAGCCAATAGAATTAGACTCTATTCAAGAGAGTCTATTCTATTGGCTTTCAAAAGCCAATCGAATAAAAGGGAGTAGCACAGCTAAGGAAAAGGGGGGAAAAAATGGCGGATTGCGTTGTTTGGCGACCCCCGTGAAATGGTCGTTCGATCCCAAATGGGGTCCCGACCCACAGTGGAGAACCACTGGTCTAAGTCAAGAGACTCCACCCAGCCTGTAAATGCTCTTCTCCTTCCTTTCACCAAGAAAAGAGGGGCAGGGATGAACTGGGGGGGGGGCTGGTGCTTCTCTGAGCTTGGGGGTCTTCTTGCAGACCTTTCATTTACATTTAGGCAGGAAAAAACAAAGGTTTAAGTACAGATTGGGGGAGACCTGGCTTAAAAACAGCCTCTGTGAGAGGGACCTTGGAGTCCAGGTGGACGATCCCTTGACTGTGAGCCAGCCGTGTGCAGCAGCAGCCCAAAAAGCTAATACAATCCTGGGCTGTATAAACAGAGGTGTAGAATCAAGATCACGCAAAGTATTAGTACTGCTTTCTAAAGCCCCAGTGAGACCACACCCAGAATACTGCAGCCAACTTTGGTCACCATATCACAAAAAAGATGTTGAGCGTATGGAAAAAGTCCAGAGAAGAACAACTAAGATGATCAAAGGCCTGGAGACTAAAACATACGAAGAACGGCTGCGGGACTTGGGTTTGGCTAGTCTAAAGAAAAGAAGAAACAGGGGAGACATCATAGCATTGTTACAGGATCTGGGCTGCCATAAAGAAGAGGGGGTCACGTTATTCTCCAGAGGGCAGGACGAGAAACAATGGTTGGAAACTGATCAAAGAAAGAAGCAACTTGGAATTAAGGAGAAACTTCCTGACAGTGAGGACAATTAACCTGTGGAACAGCTTGCCACCAGAAATCCTGGGCGCTCCATCACTGGAGGTTTTTAAGAAGAGGTTAGACAGTCACTTGTCTGAAATGGTAGGAGGGTCTCCTGCTTGAGCAGGGGGCTGGACTAGAAGACCTCCAAGGTCCCTTCCAGCTCTATTCTATTCTATTCTATTCTATTCTATTCTATTCTATTCTTATTTTAATTCTATTCTATTCTTATTTTCATTCTATTCTATTCTATTCTTATTTTAATTCTATTCTATTCTACTCTTATTTTAATTCTATTCTATTCTATTCCCTATTCTATTCTATTCTATTCTTATTTTCATTCTATTCTATTCTATTATTCTATTCTATTCTATTCTTATTGTAATTCTATTCTATTCTATTCTATTCCCTATTCTATTCCTTATTCTATTATATTCTTATTTTCATTCTATTCTATTCTATTATTCTATTATATTCTTATTTTCATTCTATTCTATTCTTATTTTCATTCTATTCTATTCTATTCCCTATTCTATTCTATTCTGTTCTTATTTTCATTCTATTCTATTCTATTCTATTCTTCTATTCTATTCTTATTGTAATTCTATTCTATTCTATTCTTATTTTCATTCTATTCTATTCTATTCTTATTTTCATTCTATTCTATTATTCTATTCTTATTGTAATTCTATTCTATTCTATTCCCTATTCTATTCTATTCTATTCTATTCTATTCTTATTTTCATTCTATTCTATTCTATTCTTATTTTAATTCTATTCTATTCTGTTCTATTCTTTTTGTAATTCTATTCTATTCTATTCTATTCTATTCCCTATTCTATTCTATTCTGTTCTATTCTATTCCTTATTCTATTCTATTCTATTCTTATTTTAATTCTATTCTATTCTATTCTATCCATGACCTGACTAGGTAACCTCATCAGTGCACACAACTGCAGGCTTTGCTCCCTGTTTCCACACAGTAGTTGTCCAGTCAAGCAGAAAACAATACCTTGATCAAGGAACTACAAAAGAGAAAAACTACACAGACACACAAACACCGACGCTGGTAGAACAAGCCACTGTATATAAACAGGAAGCAAACCCTCCCTACCTCATACTGATGGTGTTGCCTAGTCAGGTAGCGAAATGTCGGCCAGAAAACGATGTCAAAGAACACCAAAGATTCCTTTCATCTTTGCTGCCATTATGGGCAACCAAGAAAACAGATCTGTCCCAAAGGAAGCAGTGATGGCTCAGCCCCTAGTGCAGGGGTAGTCAACCTCGGCTCTTTTATGACTCGTGGACTTCAACTCCCAGAATTCCTGAGCCAACTATGGTGTAGGGCAGAGGTGGCGAACCTATGACACAGGTGCCAGAGGCGGCACGCAGAGCCCTCTCTGTGGGCACACGCGCCTTCACCCCACTCCTAGGCCTTCAGCTGGGTTTTATAAAACCTTTTTGCTTTAGGCCTCTGCCACCCTGTGCAAAAAAAAAAAAAGGTTCAATCGATCAGTCAATTTCAACTCGCAGGGAAAAAAAAAGATTTTATTTTTATTTTATTTTTAAAATTTATAAACCGCCCCACTCCCGCAGGACTCCGGGCGGCTAACAATAAAAAACACCATATAACATGACAAAAACAAATAATACAATAACAGTCATCCAGGGGTCAGACTTTATAAACCCCAGGCCTGCCGGAAAAGCCAGGTCTTAAGCAGCTTACGGAAGAGCAACAGGGTGGGAGCGGTCCTAATCTCCGGGGGGAGCTGGTTCCAAGACGTGGGCACCATCACAGAGAAAGCCCTCCCCCGCGGCCCCGCCAAGTGGCACTGCTTGGCCAACGGGGCCTGAAGGAGGCCCAGCCTGTGGGATCTAACCGGACGAAGGGAACTATGAGGTAGTAGGCGGTCTCGCAAATAGCCTGGCCCTGAGCCACATAGAGCTTTAAAGGTAATAACCAACACCTTGAATTGGACCCGGACACCAATAGGCGACCAGTGCAGCTCACGGAGGATAGGTGTAACGTGGGTGTACCGAGAAGCACCCACTATCACTCGCGCGGCTGCATTCTGGACCAGCTGTAGTCTCTGAATACTTTTCAAGGGTAGCCCCGTGTAGAGCGCGTTGCAGTAGTCCAGACGTGAGGTGACAAGGGCGTGAGTGACTGTAAGGAGAGCCTCCCGGTCCAGGTAGGGTCGCAACTGGTGCAACAGGCGAACTTGTGCAAAGGTCCTCCCAGCCACAGCCGTCAATTGATGTTCCAAATTCAGCTGTGGATCCAGGAGGACACCCAAGTTGTGAACCCGCTCCGAAGAGGATATATTTTCCCCCGCAAGAGTCAACACTGGACAGTCGACATGATCCTTGGGAGGCAACATCCAAAGCCACTCGGTCTTGTCAGGATTGAGCCTGTTAACCCCCATCCAGACCCTCACGGCTTCAAGGCAATGGCCCATCACATTGGCCGCTTCACTGAGAGAGCTCGGGGAGGAGATATATACCTGGGTATCATCAGCATACTGATGAAACCTCACCCCGTGCTGTCTGATGATCTCAAACGTATAACCGTTCGTCAGGTGACCGTCCAAAGTGACCAGGGCACTGAAAAAACTGACTTATGACCTTTCAGGTTCATACACTTACAGCCATTGTGGCTCTATAGTAAACCATAGTCTAATCAAGAAACTATCAAGAACACTCCCGCCCACACTGATAGGGCAAGCTATGATATATAAATAGAAAGCCAACCCCCTCCTTTCCAGCGCTGATGATGTTCCCTAGTTGGGTTGTGAAATGTCTGCCAGAAAACCACCCAGCTCAAAGGACACCAAGGACCCCACAGTCATCTTCCTCCTCCTCCTCCTCCCCCCCTTCTATTCCTCTCCACAACCCTCCCTCCCTTCTAGCACTGATAATGTTTCCTAGTTAGGTCATGAAACGTCTGCAAGAAAACCCACCCAGCTCAGAGAGACTACTAAGGACTCCACAGCTGCCCTCCTCCTCCTCCTCTTCCTCCTCCCTCTTTCTGCAAACCCTCCTCCCTTCTAGCACTGATGATGTTCCCTAGTTGGGTCATGAAACATCTGCAAGAAGACCACCAATCTCAGAGACATGCAAAGACTCCACAGTCTCCCTCCTCCTGTCCCTTCCTTCCTTCCTTCCTTCCTTCCTTCTTCCTCCCCTCCCCTTTTCCTCCTCCTCTTCTTCCCCCTCTCCCTCTCCTCCCCCCCTCCCTCCTTTCCCCCTCCTTCTCTTCCTGGCTGGAGGATTCTGGGAGCTGCGGTGCTCAGCCTTTGGCCAAACTGCCTTCCTTTCCCAGGGCATGAACACCAGGCCAAGATGCCACTGGTTAATCATCCATCACCCTCAGAGGCCAATTTGCATCACACAGACATTCTTTGCAAAAGGTCAGCAAGGAGATTTGGCCAGGAGCAGCCCTCCAAACACACCTACACCAGTGATGGCAAGCCTTTGAGAGACCGAGGGCCCAAACTGCAACCCAATACCTATTTATGCATCGTCGAGTGCCTGGTGAACGTGGCCTATTGGGTGGGCGTGGCTGCGGTGGTAACGGCAGACTGGGTGGGACTAAAAAGTCCAATCAATCAATTCCAACTTTGCGAGATATCTTTTTTTCCCCCAGTTGAAATCGACTGATTGATTGAACCTTTTTTTTTTTTTTGCACACGGCTGCGGAGGCCTAAAGCGAAAAGGTTTTATAAAATCCAGCTGAAGGCCTAGGACGGTGCGCATGCCCACAGAGAGGGCTCTGAGTGCCGCCTCTGGCACCCGTGCCATAGGTTCGCCACCACAGTGGTAGAGGGTATCCTGCTTGAGCAGGGGGTTGGACTAGAAGACCTCCAAGGTCCCTTTCTATTCTATTCTATTCTATTCTATTCTATTCTATTCTATTCTATTCTATTCTATTCTATTCTATTCTATTTATTGTGTTTTAATTTTATTCTCTATTCTATTCCAGACCCTGCTCCTCTATTCTATTCCAGACCCTGCTCTGTTGGAAGCCTGGAGAGGCTGTGTCTGCCCTGGTCCCAGATAAACTCTTTATTATTCCACACAAGCAACAGATTCAGCTTCTGTGAGGCCCAGCCCTAGCTGGGGGGAAAGGAAGACGAATTTAATGAATAATAAAATATATTATCAAAAGTAAAACAAAACAAGAAAATTATTTTTAAAACAAAACAAAACATATCTGTCTGTGTTTTGTGTTTTAATTCACCTTTTTAAGGTTTTTTTTTCTAGTTTTATTTTACTTTGTATTTTTGGAGTTTATACTTTAATTTTCTGCATAATTTCTTTAAAAAATAATACAATGTCCCAAAGCTGCTTTTTGTAGAGGGCTTTTTCTTGGGACTGGAGATGGGATGTGGGACCCTCCACCAAACTGGCTTCTCAAACTACTAAAGGGCCATAAAAACACCACCAAGCAGCAGCTTATTCGGCCAGCTGAGTCCACCTGGAATAAAAGTGTAAATGGGTCTTCCGCACAGCCAAAGCTAATAATAACAATAATAAAGTGGAAGGGACCTTGGAGGTCATCTAGTCCAACCCCCTGCTCAGGCAGGAAACCCTACACCATTTCCAACAAATGGCTGTCCAGTCTCTTCTTAAAGACTTCCAGTGTTGGAGCATTCACCGCTTCTTAAGCTGTCTTAAGTCTCTAGTCCTCATGGATCCTGCACTGCACATCTGAGGCCTTAATCCCCAAACAAAGCCACATTCATTTGATTTATAAGCCGTTTAATAGCAAAGCCGTTGGTCGGCTCATTTAAAAAAAAAAAAAGCAGAAAAACAGTCAGTCGAGCACATCAAGCGAGGACTCCACATGGATGGATTGGGGACGCACGGGACTACAACTCCCACCGCTCCGTCACTAAAGACCACAATTCCCATGAACCCTCGCGATCCCGCCGACTCTCGCAGCCCTCAGTGCGCACGCGCACACCGCTTAGGGTTAGCCGGCCACGCCTTCCTGTTTCCCCCCCGCCCCTGCGGGCCGAGTCAGCGCGCGCCCTCCCGTGTGAGTCCCGCGTGGCTTGGCCGGGCGGCTCTCGCGAGATTTGGCGTTATAAGCGCAGGCGGCGCTCACGCGGCCGCCTCTTTTCCGCCGAGCCAAGATGGCGCCGAAAGCGAAGAAGGAAGGTGAGCGCTGAGGGGCTCTGGCGGGAGGGGGGCCTGCCTTACCCCCCCCACCCCATCCTCGTCGCCCTTCGCCCCCCCGAAATTACCTCAGCATCGCCTCCCCGAGGAGCTGGGCCCAGCCGTTTCCCACGTTTCTCCCTCAGAAATGGATCGTGGCCTTCTTGCTCCCTCCCTCAGAATCGGGCTGGATGCCCCCCGCCCTCTGACCCTCCCCTTCCCTCTCCCCCCCCATTTAATCGCATCTCCCGAGTCTCTTGTTGCTGGATCACAGCGCCCATCATCCCCGGCCGGTCGAGGCCTGTGGGTAATTGGCAGGGCCTCATTGAGGGGGCTATTGTTAGAGATCACAAAGCCCATCATCCCCGGCCGGTCGAGGGCTGTGGGTAATTGGCAGGGCCTCATTGAGGGGGCTATTTTAGGGATCACAAAGCCCATCCCCGGGTGGTCGAGCCCTGTGGGTAATTGGCAGGGCCTTATTGGGGGGGCACTTTTGCTGAGAATCACAGTGCCCATCATCCCCGGCCGGTCGAGCCCTGTGGGTAATTGGCAGGGCCTTATTGGGGGGAGGACTATTGCTGGGAACCACAGCGCCCATCATCCCCGGCCGATCGAGCCCTGTGGGTAATTGGCAGGACCTCATGGGGGGGGAAAGACTATTACTGAGGATCATAGAGCCCGTCATCCCCGGCCTGTCGAGGCTTGATGATTGGCAGGGTCATGGGGGCAATTGCTGGGGATCATAGAGCCCATCATTCCCGGCCGGTCGAGGCCTGTGGGTGATTGGCCGGGCCTAACGGGGGCAGGCCATTGCTGCCTCCCTCACCCCCCACCCGGCCTTTTCTAGCTGATAAGGAAGATGGTTATTTGGGGGAGGGGTGGATTTTGGGGTCGGTGGGAGTGGTGAATGTGCTCTTTGTGGAAGTTGTATTATTTACCAAATGGCGTAGGACGCATGCTTTTACGTGGGCTTTTGTGTCGTTTTGTGTCTGGGGTGGGGGTGGGGAACCGTCCCAAGAGGAAAGGGTCCTTCAAGATCATCTGGTCTGGCCCTCTCTATTCAGCACATGTTTCCAGCAAAGACCGGGCCCCATTCCAAGGAGATAAGTGTTGAATTTGATTGATTAAATTTCTATGCTACTCATCTTCCCCCACAGGATGGTTCTGGGCCGTTTGATGAATGGAAGAAATCTCTTCCCCCCCCCCCCCAGGGAATTATTCAATGGGAGCCTTCTCCTTAATTTCTCCTCCTCCAGGGATAATTGTTTCATCTACTTCAGCTGCTCCCAACCTTTTCTGTATCCCTCACCCCTAGAACGCATATTCTCGCACCTCTTACAAAAGTTCAAAATAATGGCAACGAATTATCCATATAACTATAATTTTGAAAACCCAAGTTTTCACGCCCCCATTTGGGAACCCCTAATCTACTTGATGTAGAGAACCAGCCTAAAACTAAGGAAACATTTCTTGACAGTGGGAAACAAGTCAGTGGAATGACTTTCCTCCAGAAGATATGGTTGCTTTAACACTGGAGAGGTTTTTAAGAAGAGATCTGTCTGAAATGTTATAAGATCTGCCTGAGCAGGGAATTGGACTACTAGAAGACCCCCAAGGTCCCTTCCAGCTCTGTTACTCTGTTAAGTTAGCATGTCCCCCTGCAGTCTTCTACAGGCTGATGGAGTTCAAATCCACACATCTTAAAAGATGCTGAAGTTGAATGTGCTCTGACCCAAAATAAAAGGCAACTGAACTTTCTTGGCTTTAATAATAGTAATAATAATAATAACAACGTTGGAAGGGACCTTGGAGGTCATCAAGTCCAATCCCCTGCTCAGGCAGGTAACCCTATACCATTTCGGACAAATGGCTGTCCAGTCTCTTCTTAAAAACTTCCACTGTTGGAGCATTCACCGCTTCTGGAGGCAGGTGGTTCCACTGGTTAATTACTCTAACTGTCAGGAAGTTTCTCCTTAGTTCCAGGTTGCTTCTCTCCTTGATTAATTTCCATCCGTTGCTTCTTGTCCTCCCTTCAGGCGCTTTGGAGAACAGCTTGACTGCCTCTTTGTGGCAGCCCCTGAGATATTGGAAGACTGCTATCACGTCCCCCCTCATCCTTCTCTTCATTAAACTAGACGTCCCTAATTCCAGCAACCGTTCCTTATATGTTTTAGCCTCCAGTCCCCTGATCATCTTTGTTGCTCTTCTCTGCCCTCTTTCTAGAGTCTCAGCATCTTTTTTACATCGCGGTGACCAAAACATGATGCCGTATTCCAAGTATTTTCTTTAAAATTTTCTTTGAAAACATTTCATTTACCTTGGTTAGAATCGAAGAAGCTTCTTGGATGAGAAGCAAAACATTTTCAAAGAAAAAAAAAACAACACGGTCCATTGCCTTTTGGGAAAAAGGCACCTTTGGGAAAAACCGTGAGCTGGATGATGGAGAATCTCCATGGACATTTTGCTAGGCTGCCACCCGGTGATGGGTTCATCAGCAATCGTGATTCTTGGCGAGGGGGGTGGGGATTGCAAATCTGTTTTTCTTTTGTCAGGATCAGATCCTTAAGTGCTTGTGAAGGAGCAGAGAAATGGCCCAGATATAAACTGGATTCTAACTCTGCTAAACCTGCTCCCTGTTTCTTCCTCCCGCAGCTGTCCCAGCCAAGACGGAGGCAAAGTCCAAAGCACTTAAAGCAAAGAAAGCCGTATTGAAAGGGGTCCACAGTCACAAGAAGAAAAAAATCAGGACATCGCCCACCTTCCGGAGACCAAAGACTTTGCGGTTACGGCGACAGCCCAAGTATCCCCGGAAGAGCGCCCCACGGAGGAACAAGTAGGTCGGCCCTGTCTCTCCTCCCCCTCCCCCAGAAAGTCAAAAGGCTTCCACTTGACCCTAAGCCAGGGGTCTTCAAACCTGGCCCTTTGATGACTTGTGGACTTCAACTCCCAGAATTCCTCAGCCAGGATGCTTTAAGACAGTGGTTCTCAACCTGTGGGTCGGGACCCCATTTGGGGTCGAACGACCATTTCATGGGGGTCGCCAAACCATGCTGTCCACCATTTTGTTCCCTTTTCCCTAGCTGTCCTACTCCCTCTTATTGGTGGCCACACCCACTTGGGGGTCACCACAACATGGGGAACTGTATTATGGGGTCACGGCATTAGAAAGGTTGAGAACCACTGCTTTAAGACATGGGTCTTCAAACCTGGCCCTTTGATGACTTGTGGACCTCAACTCCCAGAATTCCTCAGCCAGGGATGCTGGCTGAGGAATTCTGGGAGTTGGTCCACAAGCTGGGTCTTCAAACTTGGCCCTTTGATGACTTGTGGACTTCAACTAGATGACCTCCAAGGTCCCTTCCAACTTTATTGTTATTAACTCCCAGAATTCCTCAGCCAGGCACGCTGGCTGAAGAATTCTGGGAGTTGGTCCACAAGCTGGGTCTTCAAACTTGGCCCTTTGATGATGGGAGTTGAAGTCCACAAGTCATCAAAGGGCCCAGTTTGAAGACCCCTCCCCTAAGCCAATAGAACAAGCCTGCCCAACCTTCAGCCCACAAGATCGTACATTTTTAACATCGGATTTTTAGCAATAGTTGCTCTATTATGTATTTAATATGTGGCCCAAGACGATTCCTCTTCACCTGTTGCGGTCCAGGCAAGCCAAAACGTGGGCGAGCTTTGCCTTCGAAGCTGGCTCTTCCCCCAGGGGTTGTGTGTCTGAATGGGTGTGTGATGGAACCTTCTTGGGTGGTTCAGTTTATTAGGCTGTGTTTTCCAGATACCCATTTTTAGATTGCATCGCTAAAGGGGTCACCAGCCGGAAAAAGGAGGGCCTGATCCCGCTGTATAGGGCTTTAATGAGACCCGTTGAGAATACTGTTCAGATTTGGAGACTGCACTTTAAAAAATGATTATTGGATGTCCAGTTCAGCTATCAGATGATGGCCCCTGGTGTTGCTCCAGGAAGATCTTCTAGGGCAGGGGTTCACAACCTTGGCCACTTTAAGACTGGTGGACTTCAACTCCCAGAATTCCTCAGCCAGCTTTGCTGGCTGAGGAATTCTGGGAGTTGAAGTCCACCAGTCTTAAAGTGGCCACGGTTGTGGACCCCTGTTCTAGGGAACCAGAGATTGCACGTCATGGGCAGTCTTGCCCAGTATATTGAATAGTCTTGCCCAGTATGTTGAATATTAACACCACAATGGCAGCAAGGGGAATCTCCATCCTCACTGATAGAGGGCAGAGCTACTTCTTCCGTTGCCACACCTAATTCTGGACAATTCCATCCATTCAGAGCAAGGCAGGTTAAAACCAAGTGGTTTGTAAGGGGGATCCCTCGGCAGAGGGATCTATCTATCACTTTGGTAGAGGGATCACCAAGAGCCCTGGTGGTGCTGAATGCAGCATTGTAGGCAGACTCTGCCCAAAATCTGAAGTTTGATGCTGACCAGCTCAAGGTTGACTCAGAGTTTTGTCCTTCCGAGGTCGGTAAAATGAGGATCCAGATTGTTGGGGACAAGAGGCTGACTATAAACCGCTCAGAGGGGGCTCTATAAAGCAATGTGAAGTGGTATATAACGCTGAATGCTATTGCTATTCCTCTCTGCAGGCAGTCCATTAGCTGTTTTCCATACTGGCCGACAGGATTGTGAAAATGTGATTTTCACCCAGGCCGAGTCTCCCTTTCACATCTTCAGACATTGCTATCAAGTTCCACATTGTTTTGGCCTGGAGACGGGGGGGCTTCTTGAGCTAGTACAACAGCTAGGAAGATACTAGGGATTGTCTGTTTGCAGAGGCCTCAGAGAAAGCTGTTCTGCAAAGTAGGGCAGAAATTAAACCATCTTGCTTATTCTCCACCTGGTAGCCCTCCAGCTCTGCTCAGGGCTGTCATGTTTCTCTCCCCACCACCTCCTTCCATTTCTCCCCCCCCCCCCCGATTAAACCTGCCCAGGGCCTCCATCTGTTCTCCCAGACCTTCTTTTCACAACCCTGGGGACTCTTCTCTGGACATGTTCCAGTTTGCCAGGTGTCCTTGCCAAAATGTAGTGCCCGGATTTGGGGGGTTACCATCTTGTTGGTGATCTGAGTTGTATGACTTTCTGCTCAACTGCGTTATTCGTGTTTGCTCTTCACAGATGGTGCCCCTTTTTTCCCCCAGGATTGAGGCTGCGCATGATGAGGCTTAAGCGACCAAAGTCTGAATGGTTGTGATTGTAGCCACGAGGAACTGATGCACCTCAATCCTGGGCAAAGCCTTCTGCCTTTCGGGGCTGCCCTTGGCCCGTTCCCCAGTGGGCTGCTGAAAACCTCTCTCCTTCTCTTCCCAGGCTTGACCACTATGCCATCATCAAGTTCCCACTGACCACGGAGTCAGCCATGAAGAAAATTGAGGACAACAACACCCTGGTCTTCATCGTGGACGTGAAGGCCAACAAGCACCAGATCAAACAGGCGGTCAAGAAGCTGTACGACATCGATGTGGCCAAGGTCAACACCTTGATCAGGTAGAGAGCAGCTGGGAGAGTGACGGGGACAGGTTCCAGGGCTGTTTCGTGCAGATGATGGAAACTTTTCTGCTGAGCGAAGTGATGTTTTCAAAGGAACCACTGATGCACGAAGAAGCCTTTAGAGCAGGGGAATCCCAGTGATGGCCACTTTTTTAAGACCAGTCTTTAAAAATGGCCAAGGCTGAACTCCTACTTGAGAGAACACGGGGAGGGAGTGTGTAATGGAAACTATTGAAGGCTTTTGTTGCTGTTAGTTGCGAAGTCGTGTCCAACCCATCAAAACCCCATGGACAACGTTCCTCCAGGCCTTCCTGTCCTCTCCCATTTTCTGGAATCCATCTAAGCTCACGCCTCCTGTT